GTCAAGTTAAAGCTCATGGGCTATAATGCAAAGCAGCTGGAACATACCAATAAATCTGGCCTTATTTATAAAAATTCTTTATCGGTGTTACTAAAAACATTTTAGAGTAATAAAATGAAACAATATTAAATGCATTTCTCCCGGTCAGTTGCTGTTTCTTTACTTTTTGCACAACATCCAGTTGGAGGGACCAATGCAAGTGGGTGCCACTATTTCTTAAGAAAGTGACTGTTAATGGTTTCCTTCTTTGGGAAGAAGATTACAAAGGGAAAAATGAACAGGAGTACTTGTGGCACCTTAGAGACTAACAAATTTATTAGAGCATAAGCTTTCGTGGGCTACATCCCACTTCTTCGGATGCATATAGAGTGGAACATATATTGAGGAGATGGAGTCCTCCAATTGCCTTGACTCTGGTCACACCAGTTTGAGACCTGGGTTTGGCACAGAGACTGTAGTGATTTCATTGGTTGATAATCTCCTTCTGATAGTGAATGAAGTGTCTGTGCTGATGCTTTTAAATCAGCTGTTTTGACACAATTGTGGGTGCCACAGATGCAATTGCTCGACACTTACCCTAGAATCTGAGGATACATTGTTTGTCTAACAGGGGTTCTCAAACGTCATTGCATCGCGACCCCCTTCTGACAACAAAAACCGAAGCCTGAGCCCTGCCTCCTTGGGTGTGTGTGTGGGGTGGGGGGAGAGACACTGTAACTTGAGCCCTGCTGCCCAGGGCCGAAGCCCTCGGGCTTTGGCTTCAGCCCCCCTCCTGGGCGGAGGGGCGCAGACTTTGGCTTCAGCCCTGGGCCCCAGCAAGTCTAACGCCAGCCCTGGCGACCCCATTAAAATAGGGTCGTGACCCACTTCTGAGCCCAACCGACAGTTTGAGAACCGCTGGGCTAGAGTACATAGCAGAGTTGATACCATCTCCATTGAGCAAGAAGGTGTGCCAGCCTTTTGCTATTCAAAAAAAATCAGAATTTGGTGGTGGTGGTGGAGTGTGATGGTGGTGCTTTCTGGAAGGACAGATAGAAACAAGAGCCAGGAAAGCTGTTGCTGATCTATTCATGGACAGTGTTGTTATGGCCTTTTCTTTCAGATAGGGAGGTGGAGAAAATGAGAGTTGCCCTTGAACGCTCTTCTCTTCTGAATTTAAATAATGTTACAGTTAGAGTTTTATATCATGTCCATTAGTTTTTGATTTGTCCACATTCACGTCTGTTAGTTAATGTCTGGAAATATTGGCATAAATAAACCTGGCTCCTATGTTTCATGTTTGCTTGCTTGTAAAACAAAAGTACAAAAAGGAGCACGGATGCAAAAGGATTTGCTCCTTGACTCACTCTGTCCATTTTCAAAATAACTGACATCGAAGAAAGAGGACATCTGACCTGGAAAGATAAAAGTGGGCATTGGTGGAAGGGATAGTTCAGTGGTTTGAGCATTGGCCTGCTGAACCCAGGGTTGTGAGCTCAATCCTTGAGTGGGCGATTTGGGGATGGGTCCTGCTTTGAGCACGGGGTTGGACTAGATGATCTTCTGCCGTCCCTTCCAACTGTGATAGTCAATGAAGCTTGAGAACAAATAAATGAATCTTCAAAACACATCTGTTAGGGAGAACTCCAGCACTCGTGGGCGACAGCCACAAGATATTTCTTCTCCCAGGGTCTTTTGTCACTCCGCAATGGAATTTAGTCCATAGCATTGTTAGTCTGTCTCACTTTCCAGTTTAAGATCTGGAATAAAAGATGAATTCATTATATTTTTTATTTTAGTTTGCAATGTTTTATCAGTTACCCAAGACCACTGCAGATTATAAACACTAGCAAACAATAAATATGAATTAAGAAGATACTGTAGCATTTTGCTATGTCATCTTTGGTTTATGTTAGTAGCAGCATCAGCTGATACTCGGTGTCGCTCCTGGGTATAATGCTGCAGGATTTTTTTTCCTATGGTAACATTATGCATTTCTGAAGTGTCTTTCATCTGAGGATCTCAGAGCTTTCCTAAGGCAGGTAAATATCATCATTTTACAGACAAGGAAATTGAGGGACAGAGAAATTATAATGAAAAAGTGTCAAGACAGAATATCTAAAGTATTTACGTCATGTGATGGGCATCTAAATAAAACCAGGCTGATTTTCAGAAGGGATACTTCACTGCCACTTAAGTCAACACTTCCTTCTTAGTGCACCGGACACCAGCAACACGGGGAGACCAGTCTGTAGGCACCAAGGCAGACTGTGCCTCTCCTCCCAGGGCACCATTCCTCCCACCCCAAATCTCAGCCCAGTACCATTTCCACCCACTCCAGACCCCAGCAGGGGAGCTAGTCTAGAGACCTGAAGCAGCTGGCACAACTCTACAGTTGCACTGGTACTTTTTTGTTGAGCTCAGTTACGCTACATTGAATAAGGGGAAGTAACTCCTGTGTTTGTTACATTTCCAAAGTAGCCTGTGTCTGAGATGTTATCCGACTGTATGGGTGGGTGGTTTGGCGTTGGTGGGGACTGTGGTTATTTAGATAAGGGAAATCCCCCCCCGCCAAAGGTGAGACCGCCAGGGCAAAATTTCAAAAGGGAACATTTTAAATTATTTTCTTTGCAAAAGTTTGTATCCCAGATCCATAGCAGCTTTGTCTGCTCTTGTCATGTCCAGTGAGGCCAGTCTGAACAC